AAAAAATCAACTTACCGAGTAAAGGATTAATCAGATTAGAATAGTCGCTGGAAGTCAGGAGGTGATATGTATGGCGCTTAGTAGTTTGCTTGACTTCAAACGGAAGGACCCTGCGGCAAGCGTCCACATTGACTACATTTTGCCCAGGCTGAATAGGAATGCTTTTCCTAAATTTAGTACAACTAGATTTTAATTGTTGTAGGTTTTTAAGACATTTTTCGGCTGTTTGTATCTCCGTTTGCAGCCAATACCAATTCGATTTCAGATATGACCTGGAGCAGTGCCATCGGTCATCCAGAGGCAGACTGTAACACTAAGGCATAAAGACAAAAATACCTGAAACGATCTCCAAGTGTTCGTACATCATCATAGGGTAAATCCTCATCTGTGCTGCTTTCAGTCTCCTCACCCAACTGGTTAGATACAAGCGAAGCGGGGGGATGGACAAGTTGCCAATCGGGAATATTCGGACCTGAGATTGTACTCAATATGAGACGAGCTATCAGTTTTGCAGAACGCTCGTGAATCCGCTTTAGCCTAAGATTGTAGGCCATCAGGCGTTTGACATAACTTTGGTGCTTAGTCATCAAGGTAGAGTAATCCAGCGCCTGCTGAGGCCATAATAATTCGCTAGAACGTATATCCTTTTGATGTGAGTTGAGTGGCAATGATGGGGAGTTAGCATTCACATCTACTTGACTACTGACTGATTTCGCGAGAGTATTCATGGATGCAAAAATAGATTCTCCATTATACTCAGAAACAGCATCGCCGGAGAGCATAAGAGGATAAGCTGAGTTAGGCATCGGCATGTCAGTCGCCGCAGTAGTCCTGGGGGCCATATTCACCGGGGTCCGTTTGCAAGGACTAGCAATATCTGTTTCAGAATAAGAATCCACAAAGGCCGAAGGAAAATTCGGATTGCAGAAAGAAAGAGCAGCTTTGCCGTTTATGAAACCATTGGTGTTAATAAGAGCCATACAATGAATACAAGGCTTTATGCATGGTCAAAAAGACTGAAAGAGGAAGTGATATTCAATGACCAAACAATGATAATTACAGAAGTAGAGAAAATGAGAGTAATAAAAGAAAAGAAAAATAAGGGCAATAAGGGGAGTTTGTCGCATAATCAATAATTAGGTATAAAATAAATTAAGGGAATTAAAGAAAAAAATACAAAATTATCTTAACTGAAAAAATAGGACGAACGAGAAGAATTGACCTCGGTGACATGACAAGGAATAGCCGAGTGAACGGATATTAGAATAGACAAACAAAGTTTTGGAAATAAAAAAACAAGTGAAATAGATGTTTTTACACATAAGTATATAATAATTTTTTTAATATATGTTATAAGTAATTTATTTACAATTATTCTATAAAGTATACAAAAATTACGTTTTAGCCTCAACTTTGCGTTACTTAAGACATTTAGTAGTAAACGG